CTTGCAAGGTTAATCCAGAAGATCTGAAGGTAAACCTGGTTTAGTATTTGGACGTAGCTGGAGGATGGGGGAGGTTGGTTCAGAAAGGATGATCTGTCTCCTCTGTGCTCAGACAGGTTTCTCCTTCCCGAGAGCCAGCTGCAGCTGTTGGAGACCTATTCCTGGGATCATTGGGTGTGGAGGAGCAGCCTGCGCTGCACACATTTCTCCTCCAGCCCCCAGCCCAGCGTGCGTCTGCCAGGAGAGCTTCATCTGCAAGCACTTCTTACTCTTTCCTTCCCTGACCACAGGTTTAATTTCCAGCTTTTTCCTTTGCCTTAACATCTCCCTTTTTCTGCCTCCAGAATTCTGAATAAGAGTATTTGTTTTTTGGAATATTTACTGTCATTTGAAGCATTTTATGATATTTTCTCTAATGTACTTAAAAGATCCCTATGCCTCTGGAAGTGAAATGTCTGAGTTTCAGCTTTTTATTAGGGTGCATCAAATTGTTTAGAAGTCTTACTATTTTTATTGATGTATATGACAGCAATATAGCATGGACATAGTTTATAAGCTTCTTCGTATTAATGAAAGTTGAAGGAAACAGTCATTTAGTATATGTAATAGCACTTGACAATTTTCATCCTCACAATAATCAGATAAATGTGGTGGAATTAGTATTAATTACCAGATATTTTAGCAGATTAAAATCAAAGAGGTTAAATTGACAGCTCAATTCACACAGTAGGAAAAAATCTACAGGTCTTTTAACTCTGTGTTCCATGTTCTCTTCATTATATTAGAATATTCAAATATATTGTAATCACTATTGACTAAAAAGAAAATGTAAATAAAGCAAAAGAGGGACCCAACATTTATTGAGCACTTAGTATGTGTCTTTATATACACTCATTGTCTCCTTCATTCAATCAGGAATTAATTCTCTAATGATCTGTGTCATTAGTGACCATTAAGTCTTTCTGGTAATCAGATGGCTACATTTCTCCCTATTCTTATGTTTTCATGGCAACACACCAAAGTACAATCACCCAGGGCATGATCCTGCCCTTTGCTTTCTATCCACGTGATACCTGCTCTCCAAAAAGCAGACGTACCCAGAAATGTGTATTGAAATAGAAAGCAAGAGTTCAAAACCAAACCAAAATATCCACCTAATTATGAATTCTGAAACTTTTCTCTAAATTCTTATTGTGTTTAATTGTAAATGCTTGTAAAATATTTCAAAATACAAACAAAATACCTATGAAAAATCCCTAGAAAGGTTATGTTTGAGCTCAGCCTTGAAATACTAATAGGAGGAGAGAAAAGTAAACAGATCCAAGTAATAGGAGCAGAATTGATAGGTTTTGGTAATTCATCTGATGAATCTGGTAAGGGTATCTAGCTACCTCCAATAACCACTCATCCTCAAGCCCATGTATGTGAAGGCCCATAGATAGGCATATGTTTACTATCTAACCTTAGAGAAGAGCCTTATCACAGCTGGGTATATCACTAGTGAGGAGTAGGGTGTTCAAACACCCTACTTGTGGACCAAAAGAACTGGCTTGAGTTAAGAGGCCTTGCTGTGATGTTATTGGATGAACTGGGTTGGTCTGCAGTTGGGTTTATAGTTACTAGTCTTTAAAGTGTTACTATTATGGCAAATTTCTATCTCAGGCTGACAGTTTGCATCATCTCTTTGCAAAGTTAGCAAGAACTCACTCTGAAGCATGAGCAGTACCAATTGTCATGAATTTTCAAATCATGAAGAATAATCTGGTTTTGAAGTTTCTCTCTGTTTTCTGCAGTTCATTCTTCATTGAATGAATTCTTTGCTTGTAAGTTTTCACTTTCTCTGTCGTGGATAGTGTCTGCTGCTTCTTTTCCCATTCATGTTCTTCAACCAGTTTCTTTTGCAGAGTCGTGTCTTTCAGGCGACAGACTTCGCTGAGAATTTCTGTTGCCAGGATCTGGTTAAATTCAGTGGATAAAAGTCATGTTCCAGCTTCTGTGTTTGTTCATACAGCTCATGTCTGGCTGACACTTCATTACTCAGTTTGGAATGGAAATGGTCACTATCTTTTTCAACTATTGTTAATGTCAGTTTTGTCTGGGAAACATCTATCATTTATCTTTTCTTATTTTTTATCTTCTCACTCTGGTGATCTGCCAGCTGTCCTTTGTCAAATCCATCCCATCCATTTCATTTATTATTATTATTTTATCCTTAAATTCAGAAGCAAGATCAAATAATGTTAGCTGTCCAGTAGACTTCTTCAAACATCAATTTATTCCCTTTATAGGTAAGATCTTTACCTGTGTCTTTCTGAGAGTTTTGTATAATTTATTAGTTCACTGAGCTCAGTGCAATGCTCCCTGTAGTCTTGTTTCCTATAACAATTATAACATGCTTTTCTTTTTTTTTTTTTTTTTTT